CTTTTTCCTTCCTTCCTTACTTTCTCGTGTTGGAGTTACATATCTGTCGCGTGTTCTTCATTCATTCATCCAATTCATTCATTCATTTTGTTTGCGTAGGAACTACTGGTGTAAGAGGCGTGCCACATTTGAAAGCTAGTAAAGTACCTAGGATGTACTGCCAGTTGGCGGAGGGTCAAGACAATCGTAATTTGCGTCGCGCGCGCATGTCGCGCGGCAGTGCGCGGCACGTCGAGGTGCGTCGGTTTATCGATTCGAGCAGCGACATGATGGGTGATATCGAATTGTCCCGCTTTTTTAGCACTTAAATTTGAAAGAGAAGCGGGACAACTCGTCCTTACGGCGCGACGTCGCGCGCCACGCCCATAAACGCGGCGGATTACGATTGTCTTGTCACACACCTCTGCCAGCTAAGGCCGTCTGCTTTGTTGAAGAAATGTGTAGCGCGCCTTGAGACTTAGCCTTGCATCACTTTGCCACATTCTTCTATATATAGTTTCTAGGTTATATCCCCTTTATTTTCCGTTTTTTTTTTGAATTTTTCTTCCTTTTAGTATATTTTCTTCCAGCTGTCGTCTCAGCTTTATGTGCGTTGTAGATCCGGCGAGAAATTCTTTGCTCTCCCTGACAAATAGATAGTTGGTATAGCTAGGATCTGTACAGTAGAGAGGGAATGATCACATACGATTACGGTACGTAAAAAAGCATTATTCTGCAAAATTGGGACCAAGATAGTGACCGTAATCGGTGTCGATTTGTTCCTCTGTAGGAAGCATTTGAAGACGTGGTACCGTTGTGCTCTATCGTCGTGAAGTTGGTGTTGTCTGTAGAATTGCGTGAATTCAATGGTACATCCGAATTCACGCCCACACACACCTACACACCCATCCATCCCCCACATCCGATAATGAATTCCTCGATTACGGCGGGTTATTGTCTGTCTGTCTGTAATTGTCCGTGTGTGTCGAGGTGTTCTTTACATCCTCCTCCTAATAATAAGAGTAGAGTGCATATTATGAATGATTTAGTGCTGATGTCGAATTACTTTTCATTGTACAATATTAATGAAAGTTAGAGAAGTTGATTTTTTTTGATGAATTTTAGAGAGAAATGAAAAAAGCCTGTTGTGTGTGTTTAGCCATCGATCATAATTTGTTTCACTTCGACGATGATAGATTGCTTTTGGTTTTGGCGGCCCCGCGTTGTTGATATTTCCCCTGATCAACACTATCATCACACATTCGATACAGTACTTTTAGTAGTATAGTAGTGTTTTCTGGATAAGGGAAATTTCATATAAATATTGAAGTTTGTGTAAGTGTGGGCAGAGGCACTCAAGGTGATCCCGATGTGTTTTTCGCCGTAGATTTAGTCACATCTTGAGACCAGATGTGTCTCGCGTTTGAACAGAGCACAAATGGCTGCAGCTCTTCACAAATCGCCTGAGCGCACTTAAAGACACATTTCACGATGGCAGGACCTGTGAAAAAAGGTATTAAAAGACCTGTGGATAGTGGGGGTAAATGTGAATTTGTTGGTGCTAATTGAGCTGCTGGTAAAGAAGAAAGAAAATTCGTCAAAAGGTCTACAATAATACTCGATTGATCTTTAGCATTGGATGAATATGCGGCAATTGGAGACGCAGACACTCAGTACACGGTCAAAAAACACACACAACCACGTGCGAAGTGAAATAAAGTTGTATACATCATACTCTGGGTGGAGCCAGACCAGAGGAGGCGTGGTCAGCGTTGTCTCACAAGTCTCTAGCATTGTTAACCCTCACTTTGGAGATGCACTACCTCTAGCTTTCTTACCGCGCCCTTCAGTGATACGCTATAAATGGCTGTAGTCTGAAAGGATGCTACTGGGCCAAAGAATTCTGATCTATGTAACACAGATATTTTGGAACACCCCCCCCGCTCGACGGATATTTTTGGGGAATAAGTAGCAAATTTCCGGGAAATTTCGGAGAAAACTGGTAGGAAGATGGGAACATGTAGGAAAGTGGTAGACAGGGTGTTGGAAGAAGGGGGGGGGGGAGCGGCATGCCAAGACCTTTTAGGGGGGGGGGGGTGGGTGATCGTACTGACCATACTATTACTTACATCACGAAGAATACCCTGGTCGTTGGTCAAGGATCGTAGTTGGGAAATTTTTTTCGCGAGATAGTTTCCAGCTGCTGACTTTTATCGGATTTTCCCGTTTGGCTATACACCTCTCCTCTAATCGGCCGGCGCAGATTTTGCGGAGACTCAGGAAAATGGTAGGTAACACCAGGAAGGAGTCGTAGCAGATGAGCAGATGTGGTGGGGAGAGGGAGCGAGGGCGGGGAGGGGGTGGGGAAGAGAGTATTCGTACTGACAGCGGAGAACGTCATATCACACGTCACGATGCTGTACCCTGGTTGAAACCATCATAAAAAAACTGAAAAAGCTGTAGAGTGCTGTTTGAATGAGGACGTTGTAGAAGCGATATTTAAAGGCAAAGCCCGCGACCACAGATTGTGGGTAACGGAACCCACATAGGAACGAAAAAGGGCTAGGTATCTGATTAGCGGAGAAAAGCAGCAGAAAAACAGCCGAAAATGCCCTAAATAGGATTCCATATCGACCCCAACTTGTACATGCATGCAATGAAGAAAACGCATGTTTGTACAGTTCTCATCATTGCGGACCGGTGGGGCGTGTCAGCCAGAAGGAGTGCGCACACTGTTGAAGCCGTTCTCAGCCTTTTTGTTGCAACGCGTATGCGACAAAAAGTGGTAGAAAACGAGTAATACGAAGGATATAATACAGTAATGCACTTGCCCGCTTCAAAAACTGGTGCAGAACGACTTTGCCAAACCGCACCAAACGCAGCCGCACTGCCACGCCCCACCGGTCCGCAATGATGAGGACTGTACGAATTTCCACTCGTCGTTATCATAAAGATATCAGCTCTTTTATCGTATCACCTCACTCTCACCATTCGGAATGGAGAGAGATAGCATAGTGGCTACTAGCTAGTAGCTAGCAGCCGGTGGGGGTCGGCATGGGCCTAAGGGGCGCCCATGGGCCTAATTGGTTAGCTTAAAGCGGAATTCTTGCCGATTTTCACTTTCTAAAGGTAGCGCAGCCTCCGCAATCTCCTTCCGGATCGTCTGACACATTTGAAAGGTCATAGCCTTATTTTATCGCGGAAAGTGCCTTTAATCCTGAAAGTGCCTTGTTTATACTGACAGTGGATCTCGGCAGCACTCTGCCGATCGCCTGATGCGACGAAAACTCATAAAGGCTAGACGACCTGACCACAAGACTCGCGCTACATCCCTAATCGTTCAAGGGCAACAGACTGCGAGATATGTCTTCAACGACAATTTGTACCCTCACCTCTGTAATTTTTGTCTGCTACTGCGAGCGGTGAGTGGGTTGGGTTGCCATTTGTTCGCTCAAAAGGGCACGAAAACCGGGCTGGAAGGTACCAATGA